TAGAGTAAATTGCAGTAGATTGATAAAATTCTAACCGAGTTTGACGAAGTTAGTTTGATTCGGTTCGTGTTTGGTATGTTTAAGTTCGGTTTGGATTTAGTTCAGTTTAATTATTCAAATTCACAAAAAAAAAATATAACCAATAAAATTCCATATCAGCTATTCAAAGAAAACAAAAATCATGACAAAACAAACTAAAAATCTCAACATATTGAAACCATTTATAATTGTTTTAATGATTAATAATATAAAAACGAGAGCATAAAGCAATGAAAATAGAGTAACACAACCAAGTGGTAGTGGCTAATGGTTCCGATTTGGAGAATGAATTGCTTTGTAGATCTAAACTAGGTTTCAAGTCTCCTTAAACGTGGAATTATCTAACTACTTTCATTTAAGCAGTCGAAATGGTGTCACGCTATAGGCCTATTAGAAAACCCTGGTGAGTAAACTACTCGACGGTTACATTCACCCTAGAGAGATTAGTTGGATGGTAAAAAGTTCGGATTACCTCCTAGTTCTAAACAAAAAACAGAGCAACACCAAATCAACATTAAACAACTAACTGGTGTGTAGACTTTGGTTTGGTTCAGTTAAAATGTCCACCTCTACCAAAAATTTTAGGCTTTTTCCCCATGACTCCTATTTTATATGGTACTATTAAAGACTCAGTAATCGAGCATTTATAGTCTAAATGTTAACAAAGTCCAAGTTTGCTATGGTTCGTGATACAGGTATGTTCGCCGTGAGTGCCGATTATCCTCGTGAGGAAATCATGGAGTGCTTTATCTGGCGGAAGAAGGAATACATGTTGTGTTGTATGTTCTATCTTTGAGGAGCCGGATGTCATATGAAGACGAATCCACACTTAGTATGTTGCAGGTCATTTTCGGGAGTAAAATCATTGACCATATGATTGTTCTTTTCACCGGCGCTGATGAATTGAATGAGGGAACATTGGATAAATACTTGTCACTTGGTTGCCCTCAATATTTGAAGGTCAGGCTGCTAATTAGGATAGTTTTAAAACTTTGGATATATAGTGGTAATATTTGTTTTTTGAATTGGATAATGTAACTTCAGGCCATTGTCAGAATGTGTGATGGAAGAAAGGTTTTGTTTGATAACAAGACTAACGATGAAGCCAAGAAGCTCAAGCAAGTTCAGGAGCTTATGGCCCATGTTGCAACGATTTATAAGAACAATGATGGGAATCCACTTACGAGAGAGATGTGACCTAAGAAAGAGGTTAAATTAAACTGTAGTACTAAGTTATTGTAGTTGATATGTGTTTCATCTTATTAGTTTTATATAAATATTTGCGAATATGTTGAATTCATCATATCCATGGTATCTCAGGAAAATGGCTGACATGCGATCGAAGTCCCTCTTTCAACTAAGTTTGTGCGCAGTTAAAATCTACAAGGGTACAGTCGATGTCGGTCGTGCAACACATTGCTTGTAAATTGTAATGGTCTTATATAATTTATGTGCTTTATGCATTTTTCTGATTTCCTTGCGACAAACCATACACTTATTAAGTCTTCCCTTTTAAACCAATGACGAGCGGATACAAGACCGGTAACATCTCGTAATTTTATCTTCATCCATCATAAAAATAAAGAACATAATCTTTGATCATTTTCACTAATTTTCAAAAACAGAAACATATTGTTTGACATGTGTAATTTTTCTCCAACGGATGATCTGGTTTTCTTTCCTCTTTTTTATGATTAGTTTCTTTTCCATAAATTATAAATTATAAATTGGCACATATCCGACTAAATTCTAATCTATATATAATAGCAAATACAAATCAATAAATATTTTTGGGTTATATTTTCTTGGAAACCCGCCTTCTATTTATAGGTTTATCCTAGGGTCAAGTGTTTTCGAGGTTATTTTCAAAGGTTGCATATTTTCGACAAAAAATCGATTTGTGGTTTCAAGAGTTTCAATATTCTTGATATAACCGTTTTGTCAAGACTTGCGTTTTTCCGATATAACCTGATATAATGCGTTTTTGGCGCATTCTAACTCTTGTTTTGTAGGTTTTTTATCGAGTCTTTCATTATATATTGAGTCTTTCTAGGTCTAAAAGTGGCTGGAATAGAGGATTAAAACTTGCAAGGAGGCTTGGCGAAAAAGGAGGGAAATAGGATCTTTTCTTGAAGATTCTGAAGATAAGGAGCACCCGCTCCCGATCGGCTGACCTGCTCCGCAGAAGATCCACTTTTGGAAATTTTTATTAAACCTATTTTCGCCACCGAGGGTTTCCCATATAAATCCTAGCCGCCCCAGACCTAAAGGGACACGCCGTTTTTCATCAAACTAACAGAGAGAACACGAGTGAAAGAGATTGGATACTTTGTTTTTAGAGTTTTGTAAGATTTGAAGATTGTCTTCCAT